TTCTTTTTAATTTTTAAGAAGGCTGTCGACCCTATTAGATTTAGAGCTCATCCTTCTCTGCGTTGAGGTTGAGGGGCAGAGGTTATATAATCTCTGTTCATTGTTGAAAGTTTTGTTACACTACCTTGGATCTGTTGTGCGCAACCGAGGGATGGGCCTGGTACTTCTGTGGTTCGGACAAAAGCTAGAGGAGTCCCCTTTTCCAGTTTTCTTCTTTGGAGTTCCCTCAGGAGTTTTTGGCCCACAAGGGTTCATTGTTCCATTTCCTTTGACCAGAAAGAGTTTGTGCTGAGATTTTAGCTACTCTTTCGTGTTCTGTTAAATGTTTCTTTTTTATTATTATTTTTTTTTAATGTTTCTTTTTTAAAGTCAGATTTTATTGGTATATTTTAGATATACATAATGATCGCATTCATCATAGAGAATTTGTAACTTGAATAGTTTCTTGGCTGGGGCCTGCTTTCTAGGCAAAGCCTGTAGAGAAGAGAGGACAAAACAGAGTAACAACGATCAGAACCAAAATGAAACAAAAATCCTACAAGATACCTAAGGTGCTCCTTCGTGGAGACTGACTAAGTTTTGACTCTCCCACAATCTGCACATTTTGTAAGTCCTCAGATATTTTGTAGTTTTTGCAGTGGTAGTGAACCTCTTCCCAACCTCTAAAAGATTTGCTGTCACTGGTCTAGAGCACCAAATGAAGCTAACAGCCCTCTTTAGTTTCATTCTAGGCCCAAGATTTCAATTATCATCTTAATTGGGCTTGGTTGTAATACTTCTTAAAATCTTCTCACACTTACTCTATTTCTTCACTTATAATTTAGGACTTCATTGTAAGTTTTTCTTTTATAAAGTGTAACTTCAGCAATGGCTACTCTCTCAAGTGTAATGAAAAAACAACTTTTTTCTTGTCAGTTATAGGCTGAAGGTCTGGAGGTACCCTGTTGTAGTTCCCTTTGTATATAAACTTTTTGCCTTCAAGGTATGAATGGTGTACCTTTTAGATCAGTGTAATAAACCAATATAGGTGAAATTTGTATCTGTCTTATTTTCACTGAAAAACTCGAAAGACTACTGAGAAATTTAGATGAAAAAATTAAGTGTAAGATTAGATTTCAAAATGAGATGGATCATTAAAAACAAAACAAAACAAAACAAAAAAACAAAATGAGATGGATCAGAATCAGTGTCATAAGTTAAACAGGGTCAAATGTAAAGTCTGCTTATAGCCACACAAATGATTACTTATGTATGGAATGAATAAGATATGATTTCATAGCAATTATGCCTGGAGAAAGAGGGACAACATGAATTAGCAAGCTGAGGTATGAGGTAAAGAAAGCATATACAATTTAAGGTTGCACTGATAATAGAAAAATATGTATGATCCACTTTACACTGATCATGCTATGTGTGTCTGTCAGGAATGGTCCAGGGAGCCTTTCAAATGTGGCACGTGTCTGTAATCCCAGCACTTGGGAGGCTGAAGCAGGAGGATCGCCTTAAGATCGAGGCCAGCCTGGGCTACATAGTGAGTTCAAGCCAGCCTGAACTACGTAGTGAGACCCTGTTTCAACAAAACAAAACAAAACAAAACAAAGCAAAACAAAAAATAGTGGGCCAGGGAAGTGAGAATTTTTTACCTGAAAAGTCTAAAATGGGAAACTTAAGAGCTATCTGATATATTTGGATGGTTTTCCTGTGAAATAGAACATACTAGGTTTATTAGAAACCCCTATATTTCTTTTTTTGTTGTTGTTGTTGTTTTTTTTTTTTTTTTTTTTTGGTTTTTTTGGCTTTTCTCTGGTACTGGGAACCGAACTCACGACCTTGCGCTTGCCAGGCAGGCGCTTTTGCTGCTGAGCTAAATCCCCAGCCCCTGAAACCCCTACATTTCATGTTGGGTGACTAGAGCTATAGAGACATTCCAAGTATCATTTGGAGTTATTTTTATACCTGATGAATAATTGTAATGCTTGATTTTGTGAAGTTCTTTTATTAACATACAGTAATTGTGCCTATTTATAGGGTACAGTGTAATAATTCAGTACATGGTTACTTTGTATAATGATCAAATCAGAGTTATCAACATTTCCATAAACATTTATCATTTCTTTGTTTTGGGAAATGTTGAGCTGCTCTCCTGTACTTCTTTATAAAATATATAAGTTATTGTGAACTATAGTAAACCTTTTATGCTCTAAAACATTAAAATATAATCCCAGCAGGTAATTATTTTGGTACCTGTTACTAGATATATGAGCTGCAAATATTTTTCTTCATTTTATGATGAATTAAAGGAGAAAATTACTGTGTAACATAAGTTTCTCTGGTTAAAGTCATTACTTTCTTACTGTATGGTAGAGACCGTTCATGTACTGTTGGGTAGATAATTAGACTTGAGTCAAGAATTCAGGACTTTTAGGAAATTTCAGAGTAATTCTTTAGGCAGTGAGCTAACAATTTATTTCATCTGTAGATAGGGGCAAACATATTTTGACCAGGTTATAACATTTTTCTTGCCATGCTCTGAAGTATTGTGCCCTCATTGATGTAATAAGATCGTACTTCATGGAGTATGGTAGACCTAGTCTAGACTCTTAAGCTTTGTGATCTTGAGTGAGTTCCTTCATCTTGCAGAATCTCAAGGACATATGTCCTGTCTGCAGGACATATTACTAAGTGGTGCAGTGCAGACAGGGTGATTGGGCGAGGCTTCTCACTAGGCTTGAGGTTGATACTTTTTGATTTTTATTTTCATGTTTATAATAGAACTGTGTTTTTGTTTTAAAATGATTTTATTTTATATTAAAGGTATTTGAAGACACAGTTAAATTATCAATTCACAATATTCTGTTACTAGTTTATAGGGTACAAAATAAATGAAATCAACATTATTTGTGGCCAAGGAGGAAGAATGTTTGTTTGGCCAAATATAGGATCATCTTCCTTAGAAATCTTTTAGGAGTAATAATCTTACTAGCTAATTAAATAGTAGAAAGCAGGAGTCCTCACTTTCCCGTTGTAAGGTTAAATGGAATGGCTCACCTTATTTGGCATGGTATTGATAACTCACTTGAGAACTTACTCTCATATCATAAGATTTAGTCCTACCTGGAAGGAGCAATAGCAGTGGCACTGCAGAAGGAAGAGTGGCCTCGTTTTCCACCAGTCATGTGATCACACTGCAGAACTTCATTGCATAGTTTTATTTCACATAAGGGGATAGCCCTCATTCTGAAAGCACTGCTGAGCTAATATTAAGGATGTTTGTCCTGAAACTTGTGAGGTTTATGTTTTGTGTGTGTGTGTAATTTGAAACAGTTCCTTTAATAAAATGTTTCAGTTTTATTACATCCCGTTGCAGCATTTTACATTAGTTCTTTGTTTGTAGGGGATGGTGGCAGAGAATTTAATTGTTGTCTGAGGGTGTGGCTATAAGAAGCTATCTAGAGACCAGTACAGAATCTTTACTTTAATGACTACAGATCTTTTACCTCAGTAAACTGGCTGCTTGGATATAAAGAATTGTACTTCTGATTCTTTCAGATTTTGGCAACTTGGGGTCTTTCTTTAAAAAAAAAATATTTACAGCTCTTACTTTGCCTTTGAAACTGTCTTGAATTGGAAAGGAGTATTATGGTGGGATATATGAAGTATTTGTTAAATTGAAGGAAAGATTGTCGTTTTCAGTTGTGACATTTACACCCCTGCCCTTTGGTGGTACTGGGAATTGACCTTCACACTGAAGGCCTCAGGTCTGCCCCCCTCCATTTTAATATTTGAGACAGGTTCTATCTAAGATGCCAGGATGGGCTGAAACTTGTAATAGTTTTGCCTCAGCCTCCTAGGGTGCTGGGATTGTGGTTTGTTGTACCACACCATAATTTTTTTAATGATGGAGAAAATATTTATAATTATCTAACTAGGTTCAGTTTAGATGACCCCAAGTTGTCAGCACCAATTTATAGTAATTCTTTAAAAACCATTTAAATCATGCAAATCATTTATATTTATTGTGGAAGAAGCACATGCTACATTTAGGTAACTCTGTCGTCCAGAGGTAGTTGCTGTTGATCTTTTGGTTGCCCCCTCCCTTTGGTGGTAGTGGAGCCTGAACCCAGGTCTTAATGCATGCTAGGTAAGTGCTCTACTCTAAACCACACCCTTAGCCGTGGTTGAGGTTGTTTAAGAGGTTGTTTAGAGTACACAGGCATTTCTGTTCCAAAATATTACTGTACCAAGTAGAAGAGCTTGATCTTTTAATTGTGAAGTTCAGTGAGATGATAGTCTGTCTTTTAGCTGTTGATATGCTGAAATATTTTAAACAAGATAGTACTGTAGAGCTTGTTATTTAAAATGGGAAGCTGTTGGTTGTATGGATATAATGGAAAGTTACAGCTTAAATTAAAACAACAAAAAGAGGGGCTGGGGATTTAGCTCAGCGGCAAAAGCGCCTGGATGGCAAGTGCAACGTCGTGAGTTCGATTCCCGGTACCGGAGAAAAACCAAAAAAAAAAAAAAAAACAACAAAAAGGAAAATTAAACAATAAAGAAACAATTGTGTTTGTTATTCCTGTATACCGTAGTTAACAGATTGGGCCTTTGTCAGGAGTTCACACTTGATGAGTCTTCCTAAATATTGCAGTTTTATATATTTCTTTAGTCTTTTTGTATAGAAAGTAAAGTTGGTAAATTTTCATCATGGGCCTAAAGTTTGAAAACTTGTATAATTATATTTGTTTTGAGTTGACATGGGATGTTTATTATGGGAACTACTTTGGAGAGATTCAATTAAATCACATTAGGAAATTTGAGATACTTTATTTTCCAGTTTCTGTGGAGGAATAAGCCTGTAACTCCACTAATTGGAGTTAGAATTAGCTTGGATAATTGGGTATAAAAGCTTGGGTAATTGGCAGAATTTTGTGGTGGTAACTTTCTGTTACTGCTAAAGCAGTCTGTTTTTGAATTCTCTTATCCTTAACTTGCTCTTCTAGAATTCCTAGAGGACCTGTGCAGCAACCCCTTGAGGATCGAATTTTTACTCCCTCAGTCTCAGCAGTCTATAGCACGGTGAGTATCTCCAGGGTGCTTGTGCATCTATTTTTCCACTTGAGCTCTTGATATTGAGGGCAGTGTTTTTTTGATCAACATAGGTTCTTGGCAAAAAGTTCAAGGAAGTTAGATGAATATAATGTAATGAGGCAAATAGACCCTTTTTCATCATCTTAATCTAAGTAAATATGAAACTATACGAAGATAGAGTAGCTTATATACCTGTCATCTTTTTTCTTTTCCCATAAATACTAACTTCTGGCTTTGTATTTTGATTCTTTGGGACGCTGATATAATTTTGAATATATTTTGTTAAAAGTTTTTAGTTTTTCATTAACTTAATTTTTTCTTTTCTTCTCTGATTACACATAACATATGGAAAGAGTGGGAAAGAGAACACCAGAGGAAGTTTAAGGAAATTTAAAAGCTAGAGGTTGGAGGCAATAAAATTAGAAGCAAGTTTTAGGTGTCTTGCAGCAAACCTAGGGAATTTAGGGTACCTGGGAGTATAAGTCACATGTTTTAAAATATTTCAGTTCTACATACCATTTATTTCTCCATTGTAAAGAAATAGTTTAGTGAGCAAGATGAGTCATTAAGTACATGTAATCTAAGTGACCTGATGGAGCAATTTATTTTTGTTTTTATTTTGACACTATGAACTGCCAGGGCCTTTGCACTGAACTATATTCCTGGCCCCTTTTTATTTTCTTCTATATTTTGAGACAGGGTCTCACTAAGTTGCCCCCATTGGTTTGTAACTTGCAAACTCCTACCTTAGTCTCCCACAGTGCTGGAATTTCAGGCCTGTACCACTATGCCTGGCTGGAACAAGAAAGTTTCTAGAGAAACAGGATTTGTGTTAGAAGGAACAGCAGTGCATAGGCACAAAGAAGACAGTGAGCTCCATGTAATCTTAGAAATGTAAGGGTGCTGATGTGGCCAGAGTGAGGGAAGGTTGGGTGTGGGACATCACTTTATGTGAGGCATTATGGACCATGGTAGGGATTTTGGGTTTCAGTCCAGATCTGATGGAAAGCAGTGTAGGACTCCGAGCAGTAAATCTGAGTTATGCTTTCAAAGGTTGCTGTAGCTATGATGTGGAGAGAGCAGACTGTGATAAGGTGGGGGAATGATTGCAAAAATGAGTTCAGAGGTTTTTGGAGTTCAGGCAAAAGATGATTGTGGCTTGCTCTAAGTGAGAGTGGTAAAAGTATTTAGCATACATTTTGAAAATAAAGTTTGTAGGATGTGATGCTGTCTTGGATATGTGGACTAGGAGAGAAAGGAGAGTTAGGGATGGTATCTTGGATCTTGGCTTGAACTGAGTGAATGTGGCCTATTAATGGAGATGGTCACTGTTCCCTGTGTGAGGTACAGTTTTTGTTGAGAAAAATCAACTTAATATCTGTAAACATTATTTTGATGGGGTTAAAACATGTTTATACATTCATATGAAATATTCTAATCTAAGTTTTTGGATTTATGTTTTCAATTAGATCAAATTTGATTTCACTGTTTAAAATTACTGCTATATATATAGTAAAAAAAACTTGTGTTATATATTATCCATTGTGCCTATTAGAGAACAAGGGATTTTAGGCAGTACAAGTTACCTTAAAACCTCATGTTCTCCACTTTAAAAAATTATTTGGAGAATTTTTTGGAGATAGAATCTTGCTGTTTTGCCCAGCCTGTTCTAAAATTCCTGGAATGAGGTGATCTTCCCACCTTCCCAAGTACCTGGAATGTGCCTTTTAATAAATGAATAGATAGAGCTGGGGATTTAGCTCAGCAGCACAGCGCCTGACTGGCAAGTGCAAGGTTGTGTGTTCGATCCCCAGTACCAGGAAAAAAAAAAAAAAAAAAAAAGATAAATGACTTCCATTCTTAATAATTTAAGTCTCTTTTTTCGTTTTAAGGCTTTGTGCACATTATTACTGAATGGCGGGTAGGAAAGTTTGTGACCTGGTACTTTGAAGTCTCTAGTGCCCCAGGTATATGTATGTATTGGTCATTATTTCTCTACTGTCTAGGTTTATTAGCTTCCTTTCTGTGTCATAAAATAAAGACTAACCTGCGGTTCATCTCCTACTGCCTTGGCATATGGTGCCCACATGGCACTTTCATTGACAGGTTAAATTCTTTGAAAGGCAACAATACTCCTAGCCAATCTTTAAAATTTAAAATCTTGCTTTTAAAGATGTGTGTTAGTCTGATATGCAGGCTTTAATCTGTCATTTTAGATAGATTCCCTGCTGATAATCAAAGAAGATCAAAACTTGTATTCAGCTTTTAGAATACCTCATATTTCATGTTTTAGCCTGTATTTTAACTGGGATTATACAAATTTTCCTTAAAATATTTTTTAGGGGTGAAATTGGAGATGATGTTATTGTATATGAGTGATTGAGCACATGTACAAAAAAGAATCAAGTAAATAATTTTTTAATTCTGGTTAGAGCAGCATTTATCATATGGTAGAGAAGTGGTGGAACTGGAGCGACATCAATTAATTTTAAATATATTGTTGACTTTCTCATATTGTCATGCTTTAGTAGTGTAAACTGTAATTTTACCTTGCTATATAATTTTGTTATGTTTTATTTAGATAAATTAGGGATTAATTTCTATTAATGACTGTTAAGGTAGTGTTTTTAATTACAGAGATAAACTTAATAGAATAATATAAGAATTTAAGTTTATATTCTAGGAGATTGGAAGGATTATCTTAATAACTACTTATGAAAAACAGTTATAAATAATTACATTACTCATAAGTAGTTTTTTAATGCCATAAAATGTCATCTTGCTAGCCAGTTTATACTTCATACATAAAGTCTTGGTTCTGTGATCTTATATCTATGTTAAATATTGTGTAGACCAATATGTCAGTGGAATCTCTCTGCAGATGAAATTTAGCCTGGTCAGTCAGTGCTCCTAGGCAATAGTGTTCAGACAGATGTAAATCTACTTTATTATCCTGTTATCCAGCACAAAATAATAGTCTTTTTTGTTTTTTACAGTGAAAAAACATAACAGTTGGTGCATAATTTGTTTGCACTTTTAAAAAAAACTTTACTGAGGTATATATGAGTGCTGTAGTAATTTGCAAATATGTTAGTACCCATGAAAATCATTACAGCTGAGAAAATTAACATATTCATCACTCCAGAAATGTTTCCTAGCACCTCTTTGTAAATTCTTTTTTCCCTTTTCTCTCATTGATCCTCCTACCCCTGTACTAGAGATTGATCCCAGGGCCGTCACACATTCGATTTAACTCATTGCTAGTGGGTCTAGGCATGGTGATGGTGCATGCCTGTAATCTCAGCACTTGGGAGACTGGGGAAGGACGATCACTGGGAGACTGAGGCCAGCCTAGGCTACATAGTGAGTTCAAGGCCAGCCTGGCATGCACAGTGAGACCTTGTCTCAAAACAAAAACCAAACCAAACCAAACCAAACCAGTGAGTTAAAATATACAGTTTTAAGAACTTTAGATATGACATACCATTATGGTGGCTTTCTATCTGTCTGTCTGTCTAGATTTTTTGAGATAGCATCCCTCTTTGTAGTTCAGGCTAGCCTTGAACTCACTGTGTAGCCCAGGTTGGCCTCAAACTTATGGTAATCTTTCTGCCTCAGCCTCCTGAGTTCTTGGGTTATAGGTGTGTACCTCCATGCTCAGTTTTTTTTTTTCCTCTGTGTAGTGCAGGCTGGCTTCTGATTCACAGTCTTCCTGCCTTAGCCTCTTTTGAGTGCTGAGATTACAGGTGTCTATGTGCTCATTGTATTTTAACAGCTTGAAATCTTTCCACTTTCAGACATCATTGGTATTTAAAAGATCAAAAATAATATTTCACAATTCACAACAGAGGAAATTAGCAAGTAAATGAAAGAATGTTTAACATTGATTAAATAATGAATGTCATATTTTGTTTAGAAAGTTGACAAGGGTTTAATTAAGTACAATATTTCTAAGTTATGTTGGAATAGACTAGATAGGAATTTTTCAGGGACTTTTATCTTAGCCTTTCAATTTTTTTTCTCACTAAGTATTTTTGAGTTATTGGGTATGAGAGTAATGAAATTTTCTTGCTTATTGTGGTATAGAGGATTTGGTGGTAAGCTTATATATAAATTATTGTATTTATGGGTTATACTTGGTGGTAGGTTATTGTATTTGTCAGAAACTTAAGAGACAAAAGTCACGTTTAGATGTATTCTTAATGTTAGACATTACAATAATGTTTAACTCGGGGAGCAGAGGAGTACTACTGGTAGAGGCCAGGGCAGCAGCCAACATCAGTGTGTGCATGACAACCTCACAGTTGAGCATTATCCTGCCTCAGTAGTGAGCAGTGGCTGTGATAGGAAACCCTGAACCAAGTTTTCCTTAATTGTCAGGCACAATGACTGAAAATTCAGCGAGGCTGGTATTTGTCAAATGTTCTCTCTGGGACTATATACTAAATACTGGTAGAAAAACACTTAGTGAAAGTAAAAACAAAATTGTGTAAATGCTTAGAATTAGAGAAAGAGCCTAAAATTAATAACAGTAATTTCTGTTTTGATATGAGTGGACTGAAAGAGAAGATGACATTTTAGGTGATGTCTGAACTATGCTGCACCCTCATCTCTTCATGGTAGGGAGGAAGAAAAGCATGAATCTTTCCAATAGATGTCCTGGAGGCTCCAAGACACTCCTGTGGGAAGCGCTGTCCTGCCCTTCCTGGAAATTGGAGCTTAGTGCTCCTGAGACCGCTTGGGAATGGAGCACATTACTACACCGACCGTGGACACATACCTAGTGAGCATGGTGTGTGGTTCCTGTAACTGAAGAACTGAATTTCAAATTTTATTTAATTTTCATTAATTTAAATTTAAATTAGCTATATATAGCTTGCATGTTAGCAGTTCTCTGGGGTGACAAAGTCCAAGTCATGACAAAGATTTTATTTGTTTATTTTGGTGCTGGGTATTAAATCTAGGGCTTCATATGTGGTAGGCATGCA